ACCTCGCCACGGCACGTGAGTCACCATGACTCACGCCGGACCACCCGTTACAAGACGGTATAATATATATATTTATATGTTCTAGTACTTTACGTGGCTTGAGACTACATACATAGTCTAGGGAAGCCAGTCACCCTAGACCAGTGACAAGGGACGGTTTCTAATAATCTAGAGTTCCAATAATGGAACTCAATATAACCTATATTGCCTTAATGGGTTTTAATACCCACACGGCGTATCAACAATGCACGGCGAAATAAAAGGAGCAAACTGGGAAGGCTTCCCCAGGCAGCTGATGCCAGGTACTGCCACATATTGGTGGTGGCATCCAAGCAAAGAAAGGCGTTGGGTATTGCAGGATGTGCAACACACCCTGTACAATGCACGGCCACATAAAGGGAACGAATTGCTAAGGTTCCCCAGCCAGGGGACGACGGGTACTGCCACAAAATGGTGGTGACACATAAGGAAAAAAAGGCGATGGGTATTGCAGCGACACATAACGCACCCTGTACAGTGTGCAACCAAATAAAAGTAACAAAGTGGTAAGATTTCCCCAGCCAGGTGGCGGCAGGTACTGCCAAATAATGTTGGTGGCATCTAAGCAAAGACGATGGGTATTGCAGCGACAAGTGGTGCACCCTGTGCAATGCATGGCCACATGGAAGGAACGAACTGCCAAGGTTTCCCCAGCCATGTGATGGCGGGTACTGCCACCAACCACAGCACCCAGCCACAATAGGCGGCACTCAGGCTTGTTGCACAGAGGTACACGTCCACCGCACCTACACATCCATCGTGTTCAAGGCGCCCCTGCTTGCTTTCCGTTTCAGCATTGGTAGCGCCTGAGGACTTTGCGAATACAGTAACACAAGTGGTGAGGGTCGCAGGCAAAATCCCGGAGTGAAGTCAATCCCCGGCCATGATCTTCCCACCCGGCCATGTGCCACCAAGTTTCCAAAGTCCACACATAATCCGCCCCTCCCCGGGGAGAATCTCCCAGTAAAGCAGGCGGCCCGAAGCAGAAGCCCACACTATGCCCACGTATCACTCGCTGGATTGAATCCGCCGACACCCAGGTTTTCAAAGTCCACAGATAATCCGAGAACCCCCCCTTTTCAACACCCCCCGCAGCGCGGAATTCCCCGCCAGAGCAGGCGGTACTGAGGGCGTTGCCCTGGCCACAGGGTGCCGTGAAGCGGGACACCGCGATATGCTTGTGCATTGCTCGGCGGCTTGAATCCGGCTATGCATAGGTTTCCAGTCCACAAGTAATCTGAGTTTCCCCAGCACCCCACTCGGCCCGGAATTTCCCGCCACAGCAAGCGGTACTGAGGATATTGCCCTGGCCACAAAGCAGGATAGCGCGCTGTGCCTGTGCATCACCGGCGGATTGAATCCGGCCACACATAGGTTTTCGGCCAACAGATCATCCGAGACCCCCCCCCAACACCCCCCACGGCCCGGAATTTTCTACCACAGCAGGCGGTACTGAGGGCATTGCCCCAGCCACAAAACAGGATAGCGCGCTATGCCTGTGTATCACCGGCAGATTGAATCCGGCCACACATAGATTTTCAGCCAACAGATCATCCGAGACCCCCCTTCCCCCACGCGGCCCGGCATTTCCCGCCACTGCAGGTGGTACTAAGGGCATTCCCTTACCTTGCCCATGCTGCGGCTTGAAGCAGGAGAGCACGGTATGCCTCACCTGGTGGGTCCATGAACCAAGCATGGGGCGGCAGGGGTTGGAGATGGCAGATGGCAACAGGAGGGCAACAAAATATGTGTGCAGTCACAGCCAACGTCTGCTGTATGTGGACCCTGGCTGAGCCACGCTGGCAATCAACCAGATCCCCAGATTCGGAAATCAGTACTTACTGCATGGGCTCTGCTGTCATCTGCTGATTCGGTACACACGTCCACTGTCATCCGCTAAATTAGCGGATGGGGTACATGGCTTCCGGTCCGTAAGAGAATATCCATTAACACCCAAGCGGAATCCGCAAAGTCCGCTAATTGAGGCCAGCCGTCCGCTACCATCCGTACCACGTCAGCAACAGAGAAGCCAAGAGCAGCAGAGGGGTCCGCTAAATTAACGGATATTAACAGATGGCAACCCCCGTCCGCTATTAACGGATCCGGGTGGCCACCTCTACTGGACGGGACATGGCCCATTTTCTCCGTTCGAGTCGGAGACCGGTCGAGTGAGAACTTGGCAGCAACTTCGATTACAAACTGGCTCGTGTGTCTGTATTTATACCCGCCTCCCCAAGACATCCCAAGGGTCATGCCAGAATTGGGTGAGTCACCCTAATTCTGGCATATATGCCAGGGTTTTGTAATTTGAACCACCCTGTCCCTTGTTCTTCTGTCCCACCAACCCAATGGTCCCCGAGATCCACTCCTACCGTACTGACCAACACGGTGGTTCCTCCTCAATACTTCCCCTTTGTTCTCGGTATTAAGAAAACACCCGATTTGCTATTTCTAATAAGCTCTATCCCTTTTAAGTACTGGCCCTGGTTTCTCTAATATACAAAGCTCCCGTGATTCCCTATAGTCAGCCTCCGCCGAGGTTCCCCTATTGGGCTACTGTCCCTAAACATTTTAGGTTGAGGCGAAGCTGTCTCCAGATTCTACACTATCCTAGCTCCCCATCGGGCTCTCTGAGGTCCTCTCTGACTTGCTAATTCGCTCTCATCATATCTGCCGCGCCATCACCGTTTATGGAGAAGAGCCGATGCCATCTCAGGGATCGCCATGCCGCGACAAGCCGTCGCCGCCACGGCGTTATTCCCTATGCTCTTCTATGGCTCTCGGGTCTCAAGCAGCGCTTTTTCAGCCGCCAGTCGGCCCGCCCATTGAACAGGCGGACCGCCCACCGGCCCGCCTCCAAGCCGGCTCCCCCGCTGGCATCCTCGCCGCCTTCATCACCGGTCGCCGTGGCACCTCTTGCCGGGGGCCTATCGCCGCACCTTGCCTGCCGGCTGCACTGAATTGCCACCATGACGCTCCAATGGGCTCCACGCTTGCCAATGGCGCGCTCAGTTGCACCCGTCTGACTCGCCTGCCCCACCGCACAACTCGTGTCATCTTGCGCCTCCAGTCGCCTTCCTGCCGCTTCCTTTGTCGCTCAATCCGCGGCCGCCCCCGCTGTGCCAATCGGCGGGTCGCTGCTCCCGGAAACAAAAAGGTCGCGGCCCCCATCCCGAGCGGGGTAGGGTTAGGGGTGTGGCCCGGCATCCATGCCATCGGGTGGCCGCGTCGTTGGTGCGCCAATCCCCTGAGCCTCCATTCCCCATCCCTCCACCCGACCATGGCCGCTTGGAATGAGCCATGTCAATCCAACTCCGTGGCCTCCACCCGGCACCTCAAGTCCACCATCGCCTCCCACAACACCACCAAGCCGAGCACCGCCTAAACGATGGCAGTGCTCGGGGATTGGAAAACGGGATGGCAGCATTTCCCACGCCTCCATCAGACACCTGGACCTCCAGGGTCCGTTCCCGGCTCCGAAACCATATCAAGTTGACCGGTCTCTCTCGCACACGCCCGCATACGGTCGCTCCCAGGCACGGGAAGCAAAACCGCAACCGGATGCATTACAAGATGATTGTATCGACTAAATACCAATCACTGCAATAATGTTCACTTCCTCATCTCCATTGTCCCCACATATATTCACCATAACACCATCTTCACCATATTTACCTTCCACCATCAAAATTCACCATATATCATATATCGTACATTAACCGTTCACTTGCCCTCACAAACATTATGGGAACGCAGCCTGTCATCCATCGACAACAAAAATGCTAGAATCGTGCGCGTGTCTATGTGATGAGATGTAGTCCGAAATTCTGAAGACCTTTTCATATTTTGGAGAGCTCTTCTCCCCTTTCTATTGTCCTTGTCTATGCGTGTCATTCGCAGGCTTGGTTTTTACGCCGTAAAAACTGACCGTATTTACGTTTTTAAGCGTAAAAATGCGTAAAAATACATAAATACAACGCAAAACTGTCTGGTGTACATAAGGACAGTACATACAGACTTAAGGAGGTATGCTACATTGATCGATGCCGTGATGTCATGTCGATGCATCCATGTTAGGAAGAAACAAACAAACATAGAGACTTTCAGAGTCTGGAGAGTGGCAACTAGGCGCCCTGGAAGGGGCAGAAAACGAGTTTTTGTTAAGCGCCATCATCCCCCTTGCCAAGGGCGAGGTGGACATTGTGTTGCAGGTGCTGGAGTTGGCGGATGACTGATCATTGTACGTAACTTTCATCGTATAATCTGGGTGTTCCAGGGAGCTGTAAAAACGTAAACGTAAACGCGAAAACCAAGCCTGATTATTCGTAACCAGCAGTTTGGGTGCAAGGTTCTATTCGACAGTACATATCACACCAAGACCATCAATGCGAAGTGAATTGATTGCTTCTGCACGATTGCAGCACTTGTTGGCATGGATGTCGCATAGCGAAATAGAAGCCCCTGCAAACAGATGTGGTTGAGGGGAACTATGAGCATCTGTTTATTGACACCAACCAGGGTGTTAGTTATTGATGAAATGGCTGCCAACCGCATTGCTGTCTGCTCTCTGCTTTCAGAAATTTTGCCCTCTAAGCCTGCTGACACATTTGAGAACAGGCACCCACAAGAATTGTTCCCAAACTCTACTTGGATCACTGTGTCTGTTTGCACCAAACTGCTTGGATCACTGTGCCCTAGCACACCCAAAACCACCCAGGCGCTGCTGTAGGGCAGCAAAACAGTACCCCAAAGCATGCCTCAATAAGTTAGCAACAAAAATTTACCTAACTAACTACTGGGAATCTGGAATCGAACAGCCTGGGTAAGGATTGCAAAGCATGAAATTACCCTCTTCCCTAAAACTGTTATTTGCAGCGCGCTGATGCCAGACTATAGGCAATTCTGATACTCAGTCTCTATCATCCACACAGCCCTGCATAATCCATGTCTTCACCTCCTCATCATTCTTCTACCGGCATTTGGTAAGCGTCCATAACAGTGGTCTTCGATTCTCCTGGCTCTGCAAGAATGAGGCCAGCGTCTGGCATTTTGCTGTACATTTGTGTTAACAACTGGGGCGTGTGGATGCGCACCACTAGGCCAGATTTAAGGAGTTCCCTAACGTTATCGCGCTCACTCCACACAAGTCTCTCCCTGAAGTATTGCCGAAGCTCCTCGTCTTCCTTCAGAGAGCTTGCAAGAAAGGCCTGGCATTCAAATGCACAGTGAGCACACAATGGCACACAGTCACAGCAATGGTCACATCTGCCAACAAGCGTGTCAGCCCTCTGCCAACCAGCATGAACAGGCATTCTACCACATTGCCGCAATCATATCGAAGTACAGCTCCAAGCAGAAGACTCAAAAGTGCTGGGTATTGTCTTGCCCTGACAGGTTAAAGCAATAAAACAAAAATACAAGGCCTGCAGCATCCTCAAAATTGCCTTGAGGCCATCCTGCCCCATCGCCAGCTCTTGTAGTGTGGTGATGGTGAAACAACGATGCATTCGTGCTGGGCTCCACAATGGCACAATGGCAACAACCAAACAGCACATGAGGCACCAGCAGAGCAAGGGCCACCAAAAAGAAGCAACCGGGCAGTGTTGCATACCTCTCTGTCAAATGGAAGAATAAAACACCGTTTAACATCCTCGTCAGTGGGGGCACAATCGCACCGGTCTCGCCTGCCTTTGAGGTCAGCATATTTGTTGTAGACATAATGCAGTACCGTGGGCTCTGTGGAGGTAATCTCCCTGACAACAGCAAAATATGTCTATGAATGTCAAAATAAGGAAAGACAACTTCCAAACAGACCATAAATCTCCAGAGCCAAACTCCTTGATGTCCCTTTGTTCAAGCTGCACATGATTCAGGATGCATGCAGAAGAGCATGCAACACTGATATCATCCATGAGCAAGGCACAATAAGTGATGGAGGAGAGAATACAAAATTTTGGCATTAAACCACAAGACTGGTGCACCCAGGTTGAAAAAGCAGGCTATGTGGCAACAGCAGCACATTGCATCCCGAATGCCTTGGGTTCATCTTTAGGTAAAGGCGATCGCCACTGTCATTGTCTTGCAACAAACTGAACTCAATTTTGAACAAGAATAACTGGAGGACAGGCAACCCATAACATTCACATTGGACACTGCAGTTATGGTTCACCGCAGGGACAATGGGGCAGCCAGATGCTACAGTACCATGCCAGCACCCACTTTGGCTTCTTCCCATATATGTACCACCGATGCGCCCCATTGGATCTCAAGTGTGGCTGAATCTTCCCCGCAGACTTGCCGTTGCCGTATGTTGTGAAATAGTTTGGATTGCCCCTTGCAACCATCTTGTATTTCTTGAAGTACTGTTCTGAATTGACGTGGGCAAAGTTTCGCTTGAAAAGAGTTACTTCAGTGAAGGGGTTGGTGATGTCATCTGTCTCAGCTAGGCCCTCATAATTGGGGAACACAACGGCATCGACCTGAAGCAGAGCAAAAGCAGAACAAATTTCAAGGACAGGAGTGTGGATTTGACAGAAGCATGGGAACTAACTGCAGGCCATCCCAACACCCTCTGTGTCGGTCAGTCGTACGTGCTTGAGAAACCTTGGCTGCATTGATGGGATCGATGAACGTTTGTGCCAAAAGAACAGCGCAAACGAATGCAGGCCAAAGCCTAGTGTCGTCACAACAGCCATGACAATGCCACATACAATCGACTATGTCCTCAGCAACACCCAAAGGCACAGCAGTTGTCTACCAGATAAAAGTTCACAGGACTCAATAACAAGACTGTACAGGACAAAGGTCCCAACAGCCTGCTACCACATCGGCATCAATAACAACGAAGCCAGGCATTGTACTGCATCGTAACACCATTGCGTATTGTGTTGTGTGATGGTGTTGCATGAAGGTTTGTGCATTGCCACTCAGTGACAAATATCTAAGGCAGAACAGCGTCAGGCACAATGCTCACATCATGGTCCAGCCCATCCATATACTCCTGTATGCTGAATGTTTCAGTGCCTCCTGGATACAGCAACTCATCTGTGTCAAGGTGAAAAATCCAATCTACTCCGTCCTCTCTGGCTTGCATAATTGCAACTGTGGAAGACACAAAAAAATCAATGCACAATGAAGCAAATCAGCAACAAAATTTTCAGATGCGCCAGCAATGCATCATCAACACAGCACACTGGAGTGTCCTCTGGAAAAGTTGCCTCAGTACACCTGCAAGTGCTGACCAATTTTACCAACACCAATTTGATCTTCTGCTTTTTGTTCAGATGTAGTGCAAATCAGTGCGCCTTTGCCGTCTCAAAGCCTACCCGTTGCTTAATTTTGCACATTGTGCACACTGGACACCTGCTGTGTCAGCCAAGCGTGAAGAGTTATATGGCAGCAGGTCATCCAGGTGCAAAATGTCTGGTGAGTTCAGGTACAATACTCTGATCCAGTCTTGGCCTGGTTTCCCACGCAATACTGCCAGCCATGTCCACAGCAGCGGCAAGGGAGAACCAAAGTACCTGGTGCTAAATGGGCTGAACAGGATTAGAGCTTGTGCGTTTCAGGTGATAATGTTGTGTAGAATATGCAGCGCACTGCAGTGCAGCTCCAGAGTTGATTGATGGAGCAGTGACTGAGCAGGACAATCGCTGCAAATGTGGTCTGTATCCGTGCTGTATGAAACACGCACATCTCTCAATGGCACCTGCCTGAAAATATTGTGGGCTGCTGTGTTTCATGCTTCTACTGGCAATAGCAGCGAGCTATTGGACTTGTGCCCCTTCATGAACAAAGCAGCACACCATCTCACTTCTGGGATACTGGGCTCACAACCCATCAACAAAGAAGGAACATAGGCCGGTACGTAAGCTCTGGCCAATTGATGGGCAACCAGAACAGAAATTGAGCTAAACACTGCTTGTAGATGATTTCTTGCACTTCCTGTGCTCTTCTTCCCACAAGACAGATTCCTTCAGCATACACTGTGACCACAGCAGGGATACATCACAGGGCTTTCAAGTTCAAAGCTGCTGACACACCTTGCTGATAGACAGTTTGCAGCTGCCATCGCACGCAAAGCTCAAAAACTGCCAATATGGTCAAGCAAAGTTGTGGATGCAGGTGTTGCGGCACTTACCTTCCATGTTCAAGCTTTGCATCACAAAGAGCTCGTTGTTACATGGCTTGTTGAAGAAGGCAGACAGCCACGTCTCATTCCATGCCCGACTGTGGGCATGCCTGTGCTTCAACTTTTCATCGTTAGGAAAGAGCTTGACTCCACTCCACCGATTGAGTTCCTTTATTGCTGGCTCATGGTTCACTTGGCCATTCAAGAAGAGATAGAACATCGAGACACCAATGGTCTTGTGGTAGCGCATCCACACCTTTATGGTGTCCAGTCCAGCAGCCGTG